CGCCACCCCGTAATAAGATTTTCAGTTTTTTTCTTTAGAGTCTGTGATGAACTTTATAAGCTGCCTTCTCACCTCTTTTCTTTTTCTTTCTCACCTCTTTTCCTTCAGTGACACTTTCGAGGTCTAGGCTCTGTATGCAGTGCATTTATGTTATATAGGGTGCATTTCATAAGTTTAGCTTTGATGTACTCTGTACACCAGCTGAAGCCTTTACGTTATAGTACCGCCCCCACCCAGACAGTTAGTTTCAGCCGAAACCTGAGTGTGCATGGACTGGATTCTGGCAGAGGAAATGCAGTTTTGTTGCGCAGAGAGTAAGTGTATGTGGTGTTTAAATTCCTTCCTTCTTCGTGCCTCCTTATCGCTTTCACAGGCAGTGGTGGATGCCAGACACCGGAGGAGCCAATATCCCAGCTCTGAATGAACTTCTGTCTGTCTGGAATATGGGGTTCAGTGATGGCCTGTACGAAGGGGATTTTACCCTGGCGAGCCATGACAGTAAGGTTTTGTGTTTGTGTTTTCGTAGGGCACTCATTATTCCAGGGGGTGCCAAAGCAGATGCAGTGTGTCTTTGAAGTCTAAGTGTCAGAGAATGGTGGGATTCCAGAAGAGGCTGGGTCCATGGAGAGAACAATGCAGTGTCTTCACAGAGGACTGGAAGGCTGGGTGTTAACCACTCTGGTCCTTTCCAAAATTTTTAAATGAAAATATTTCATGCAAGCATTTCTAGTTTTAGTGCCACCTGTAAGGTGCTCTGTATCCCGTATGGTCCCAAATAAGAAATACCTCATAGATTCCTGATTATTTTTACAATTCTGTTTATGATATAACTTTTCAAATCTAATTTAAGTAGTTTCCCCACAGATTAGTTCTGGGAGCTAGTTTCCAGAACACCTTGAACGGTGTTGTTACTGATTCTGTTCATCCTGACTTAGTTGTTTCAAGTCTGTGACAACTCTGACTTCTGAAATCTATTCAGAAGCCTTATGTTAATAGTATTTTTCAGCTGGAGCTTGGAGGTAATTCCTCGTAGCTTAATTGTGACCCAGCAATAATAGCAGCTCCTCTCTTAAGATTAACAATAATTTTAGAAAACATATAATGTCTAAAGAATGCATTTTAGATAAACGAGTAGCTATTGATAAAATGTTCAGTGTTTCTATGTTCTCATAACTTTGAACAATTATTTTTTAGTGTATTATGCGTCAGGGTGCAGCATTGCAAAGTTTCCAGAAGATGGCATAGTGATAACACAGACTTTTAAAGACCAAGGTGAGGCATGCTCTTCATAGGCTTTTGTTTTCTTCCTTCCTTTTTTCTTTTCAGTAATAGTTTTGGGTTTTTTGTTGTTGTTTTTTTAAAGATTTTATTGGGGAATTGCGGAAGGGGAACAGTCAAGTTGTTGTCCTTCAATTTTAGTTGTGGAGGGCGCAGCAAGCTCAGCTCCAAGTCCAGTTGCACTGCTCAGCTCGAGGTGCTGTGTTCAGTTAGTTGCGGGTGAGTGTAGCCACCATCCCATGCGGGAGTTGAACCAGCAACCTCGTTGTTAAGAGCGCTCACTCTATCCCCTGAGCTAGCCGGGTGGCAGCTCAGCTCAAGGTGCTGAGTTCAGTCATTAGTTGTGGGCGGGCGTAGCCACCATCAAACAGGCAACTTTGTTGTTAGGAGCACGTGCTCTCAACAACTGAGCGGCAGCTCAGCTTAGGTGCAGCGTCACTGGCCCATGTGGGAATCGAACTGGCGACCCTGTTGCTCAGAGCTGACACTCTTGAGCAAGCTCTTAACCAATTGAGCCACTCGGCCAGCCCCCAATAACCNTGCGCCACCCGGCTGGCTCCTTGAATTCATCTTTAATTGCTCTCTTTCCCTTACTTCTGTTGAATCAGCCAGCAAGCCCTTTCAGTCCTCCTTCCAGAACATGTCCCAACTCCTGCCCTATCTGGCTGCCGCCTCTGCCCCCACTCTCATTCAGGCCATTGTCACCTCTTGCCTGGACGGTGTCGGTAGCCTCCTGATGAGTCACTGCTGCCATTCTTGCTTCCTGAAATCCCATTGTCCATGCAGCAGCCCTGATCGCCGAAAAACAAATTCTGTCACAATTTGCTTAAAACTCCAGTGGCTGCCAGCTAGACTTCATGTGCCAGACTTCCTGGTGTGTCCTCCTCAAGCCTCCAGGCCCTGCCTGCTCACAGCCCCTCCAAGGCCCCTGGGCTGACTTGCCTAGCCCATACGCCAAGTCCATTTCTGCCTTAGTATAATTAAAGGAGTTTAGACTTGACCCTAAAGGTGAGGGAAAGAGCATTGCAGATTTGAGCAGGACACTTGCAGAGTCATATGTGCTTTTATAAAGATGTCTCTGGAAGTCACATTGGAGGGCTCAAACCAGAGGCAGGTAGACAAGAAGTGGCAGATGTTGATAGACCAAGGTCATGACCATGGGCCTGAAGAGCAGCGTCTGGGTTCAGCCCTGCTGAGGAGGCGGACTCTGAAGGGCCAAGAGGTGAGGGGAGGCAGATGAAATGACCATGGGGCACTGGGGCCGGCGGCTCACACAGAGTGTGCAGTAGGGACATGAGCACGTTTAGGAGGAGGAAGGATGGCAAGCTGGTGAGCAGCAGTGTGAGGAGGTGACGTGTGCGTTGC